AGGCCCCCCCCCCACCGCCCCTGCACCGCCCCGGGGTGGGAAACGCAGCCCCACGCCAAGGCCAGCCGGGGACGGAGCAGCAGAGGCGCGACTCCGCTGGCCCGCCCGTCTCTCCCCTCCACGACTAGTCTCCCTCTCGTCCCCCCTTTCCTTTCCCTCCTGAGATCACCGGAAGGCCGAGGGCGCCTCCGCGGACCTGCCTGCCTGCCTGCCTGCCAGCCGCCGGGCTCTTCTTCGGGCAACCAGCGCTAGATCTGCAGCCAGGGCGGCAGGCAGGCAAGCAGGGGGACGGGGGCGCCGCCGGGCAGGCCGGGCGAGGGGTTCCCCTCTCCGCACCGGCGCCTCCCGCGCTGGGAAGAGAGACGCGCGGCGTGCAGATTTCTTTCTCACACAGAGACCTCGTCGTCGGTGATAAGAAGGAGGCTCTCGCGCGTAATTGCCCGGAATTCGTAGGAATACATTGACAGGATGCGAGGCTCTGAGAGGAGATGGGAGATGGACGGGATTTCCATGGCACCCTGGTTTTATATATATGTTAATTATTTAATATATATATTAATTAAATCAAGACAGATTTGGCGAAGGTCCACTGATCTCACTGGGGCGGGGCGGGGGGACCCGTCACTCTTCGTTGAAATCAAGGGGACGCGCAGCGTGTGCCTAAGCAAGCTTACTCAAAAGCAAGCCTCTAGTCAATTTATTTAGGATTTCAGATTATAGAAAAGTTTTAATTTGGCTGGATCGTGCCCAGACATTTAAATTAAATGGGAAGACTAGAAAAGACCTTTCGAAAATAAAATGAGGCTAATGGAGATGCTTAACTATGGCAAAGGCAGGGCCAGTCCCACCACTAAGCATCTCCCCATTCTGGGTGCCATTTATGTTCTGGAAAGGAGGCGGGTCCCCTGATTGGCTAGCAGATCCACCAGTCACAGCATGGCAAACTGCCCCCCCCCCATAGAGAGGTGGAATCCTGGGATACTTTTCTAGATGGTGGGCTGCTCTCTCCCGTTCCGTTTCTGGGTTGAAACCAAAACCAGGCAAGGCAGTTAACATGGCTTCTTCCGCAAGAAGAAAGAACTAGCCACATGAATCCATCTCAACGAAAACAAGAAGTATCTTGTGGAACCTTAAAGACTGACAGATTTATTGTGGCAGTGGATTCCTGTGCACAAAGGCTTCTGCTATGAGAAGTGCTGTAGGCTTTTAAGATGCTACCAGATTCCTGTCTGTCTATAGGTCTATTAATCTACCTATGTCATCAACATTCATGCTGAAGAGGACGCCTGTGTATCTAGAAACCTTGTATAATACATACTGAATGATGGCAAATTCTAACAAAATTACTATTTCAAAGGACTCTGGTGGTGGGGGGGAACACACAAACATATACAACTAAAATAAATAATTCCCACTCTCCTAGAAATCTTGGTACTGAAATCTCCAAGCTATTTTGTCTATGTCAACATCTTCCATTTTAATTTTATTCTATGTGTAATTTAATCCTATACCATCAAATTCTATATGCCACATTCAAAGCTTGTCAAATTAAACATCGACAAGCGGTGATTATTCCTTCTTCGGGAGCTCCATAGGGACAATCTTGCTCAAGTAAGGTTGGGAATCTCTGGTTCCCTAACTAATAGTATTCCCATCAGTAAAGGAGTGAAGCAGGGATGTGTGCTGGCCCCCAGTCTGTTCCCCTTGTACATAAATGACATAACTGTTCCTGTCAAGTCCGCAATTTTTTCCACCCTCTCTGGGACAACAGAAAATTTCAATTCTTTTATATGCAGATGATATGGTCCTAATCTCACTGACCAAAATTGGTTTGAGAAGGCTCCTACACCAACTAGGGCAGTATTGCATTGAAGAAGCTCTCAGTGTCAATTATGCAAAGACCAAAGTAATGGTCTTCAGAAGAAAGCCCAAAATCTCTCCCTGGAGCATCTTTGGTAATCCAATTGATCAATGCAGTTCATTTAAATACCTAGGAGTAACTTTCAAGGAAACATTGAATTGGAAAACCCATGTGGCAGGGGTCAAATCGTCAGCGTTAAGGATTGTTGGGTCTATTGTACACTTCTTCCACACAAAGGGTGGGCGTCTAGTTGACCCAGCACTGAAATTGTTCAAGTGCAAAGTCGTGCCTCACTTATTATACAGAGTGAAAGTGTGGGGCTGGAAAGAGGACAACATATCTACTCTCGAGGTAAATCTACAGCAACTAATCAAAATTATTTCCTAAAATGAATCTTAGGCCTCTCTAGGGGATCTCCTGTGGCCCTGATGCGAGTGGAAACAGGTCTTCCTTCTCTTAGGGCAAGGGTACACTTCACAATGTGAAGCGCAAAAGTGGGCTTGAAGCTCAGCATCAAAAAAACTAAGATCATGGCATCCGGCCCCATCACTCCTTGGCAAATAGAAGGGGAAGTCGTGGAAGTAGTGACAGACTTCACGTTCCTGGGATCCCAGATCACCGCAGACTGTGACAGCAGCCATGAAATTAAAAGACGCCTGCTCCTTGGGAGAAAAGCGATGGCGAACCTAAACAGCATGATAAAAAGTAGAGACATCACCCTGCCAACAAAAGTCCGCATGGTCATAGCAATGGTATTCCCAGTAGTCATGTATGGCTGCGAGAGTTGGACTATAAGGAAGGCTGAGCGCCAAAGAATAGATTCTTTTGAACTATGGTGCTGGAGAAGACTCTTGAGAGTCCCTTGGACTGCAAGAAGAACAAATCAGTCAATCCTAAATGAAATCAACCCTGACTGTTCCCTGGAAGGCCAGATAATGAAACTGAAGCACAAATACTTTGGCCACCAAATGAGAAGGGAGCACTCACTGGAGAAGACCCTGATGCTGGGAAAGATTGAAGGTCAAAGAAGACGGTGACGGCAAAGGATGAGATGGTTAGACAGTGTCATCGATGCAACGAACATAAAATTGAGCCAACTTCAGAGGACGGCGGAAGACAGGAGGGTCTGGCGTGATCTGGTTCATGGGGTCACAAAGAGTCGGACTCGACTGTGCGACTGAACAACAACAACACTTCACAATTATAAAATGCTGGAAGAAGACAAATTTCTCTGGAAGAAGACAAATAACTCTTTAAGTCACCAATCTGTTAGATCATTATTAACAAAAGACCCTTCTCATTCTGGTTGCCTTAGTAATATCCTCTGGAGATACACGATACCTGATGACCTCTTTGGAGCCACAGGCTCCCAACTTAGGGAATGGATATTTAAATCAGATGCAGTAATAGATCGTTCTGTTATCACAATGTCTAAGGTAGCTCCTTTGTACAAATTCTTCAAATCTAACCCTACCTAGTCAATATTTCCAACTATAACCTCAGGGTGTCTTTCACTGCCTTGCACTTCCAAACAATGTACATAGCATTGTGGGAAGGCCGATACTTTCAAATTCCAACAGAATGTAGTATATGTATTTGCGGCTTGCTTGCCATTGAGAACCTCCCCCACTGTATTTTAGCTTGCCCATTGTACTACGCACCTAGAGATAAATTCTTGGCAGGAATTTTATTCACCATAAATGCGTATTCTGAAAATGAGAAGATAGTGTTCCTGTTATCAGATATCGACGAATTTGTATCCTATAGAGTTTCTCTTTTGGCCCTTGCGGCCAAAAAGATTAGAGCCAGGGTGGCACCATAGGGGTCACTCTTATAACCTGCCGGACATTTCTAACCCGTTGCCATTTTATTGTATAACCTAACATCTTACATATGTGATCTTAGGCTTTATTCCTTATGTATTTTACTGTATTTTTTATTGTCACATTCGAACGCTCTGTTACTTTGTTACGGCCTATGGCAAACACAATAAATCTTAGTGACTAGTGACTATATGCCACAATTGTGGTTTAGAATTGCTTTATAGTGTGGGGAAAGTGGGAGCATACAAGAAGCACATGTGCACTCCTTAGGAGCAGGCCACCCAACGGGGGGGGGGGGGGGAATCCAAATAGGTCATCCTGTTAATTCTAAGAGCTGGTAAACCAAACCAAGCATTCATCGAGGAAGTGGGATCAGGGCTCTTTTGGGGAGTTCACTCAAGAATAAAAGAACACAGACACTCAAAATAGTAACATCTAAAAACTATCCAAGGAGAGTTTCCATCCTGCATCAAACTGCTGTAGTGTGGACCTTCAAATCACTGTAGTGCGACAGTCGGGTTTTCAAAGGGAGACTCCAGTATGAAATTGTTTGAATCAGAATTCATTAGCAAATTTCAGAGGAGCGGAGGAATTAACAATGAAAACAGCAATGGGTTATGTGGTAGTTACGGTACCTTATCTCTTTTGCTTTGGCTTCAACAGACAGACCTCTGGATTCTGTCCCATTTTACATGTTGACACTTTGTCTCTTGCTATGCTTAATGGGCAATGGCTCATATCCAAACATACATTTGAACTTGGATTCATTTGTGTTCTGCATAATAATGGTGCACATCTTCAACAACCTCTTAAATCTGGCCTTTTGGCCAATAAAAATTTATGCTACAGCATATTTATTAGTCTAATATGCAACATTTGATAATATAGAATTTGGGACTTAGCAGTGATTGGGAGTACTTGTCTCACCTAAGAAACAATTGCTCCACTTTAGATGTTTACACTGTGACCAATGGCCTCTCATTTGGAGTGGGTTATAGGACTCTGTATTGCTAAACAAGGCAATCACAGGATCTGGGAAGTGCTTGTTTCTCCCTTGGCAATAGTTCATTCTTTATTCTCAAGCACATCACCTCACACATGAGATTCACAGGGCTCTTTCAGTGGTGGCACCTCACCTTTAGAATGCCCTCAGTGGTGGTGCCTCACTTTCGGAAAGGCCCTTGAGGCTCCCCTGGCACCTACCATACTTGTTGTCCTGTAGGTGCCAAGCCCCAAACTGTTCTTTTTATCTAAGGGAACTCTAAGATGAGTTAGTGTGAGCTAGCTCACAGTTTTTTAGCTTCCAGCTCACACCTTTTTGTCTAAGCTCAGGCAGGATGGCTCCAGAGCAAACTAATTTATGCAGTAGCCAAATTGCTCGCTCACAACTTTAATGCCATTCACTCACAAGGTAGAATTTTTGGTCTCAAGACTCCACAGCTTAGAGGGACAATTGATCTAAGGGTTTGTTATTCTTCTCAGCTGTTTTATGATCTGCCTCTGGTTCAAGGTTTGATGTTCGACTTATTTTTTTAGGATGCTCAGTGGTTCTTTGATGCTGTTTTTGTGCCCCTGGCTTATGTGGAATGGCTTGGTTTTAGCAATGATCATTGATAATTAAAAAAACCACACCTTATTTTATGGTATTATTTTTATTTGTAAGTAGCTTGAGATTTACACGTCCTACATGAAGGATCCTGCCTAGGCTGAACATCTAGTCATTACATCATGGGCTTTCAGTTGGTTTGTCACAGCCAAATTGGGAGCAGACTTCAGCTGGGTTATTCTAGTAGTACAACTACCACCATGGAGGAGGATAAAAATGCAA